TTGTTCACCGTGCCTCTTGCTGCTGCTCACGTGGTCTCTGCTCATACAGTGTGAGCTGTGTGGGCTGCCAACTCTACTCAACGCTTTTCTTCACACAGAGTGCCGAAAACAAGAAAAAACTGCTGCTGCTGGTTTTGTCCTTCTGTCTGCAGCATGGCTGGCTAAGAGTGGCCAAGCAAACAAAGCCATGCCGAGGCAGCCACAGCCGCATGCCATTGTCTCTGGCTGTGCCAATTTTTGGCTGCACAGTCTTAGCCACGTGGCTGCTCCTGGTCTGGGATGGCAGCAGCCACTCCCGGCTCTGGTCCTTGCCACATGGTTGCTCCCAGCACCGATATAGCCTCCAGCTGCTGGAAAAAAGGGACTGGCAGGCTCTGCCGGGAAAGAGGGCCCGGCCGCAATGGGAAGGAGGCCCAGCCGCCTGCTGGGGTGGGGTACAGTGGGAGAAGGGCTCAGCTCCTCCTGAAGGGGGCCTGGCCACCCGGTGGTTTTCTGGGAAGGGGCCAGCGTTGCAGCAGTGCCCCGGCCTGGTCCCCAATTACCTGTTCCAGGCTGGAAGCCAAGAGAGCTTTCCTGGGCTTTGCTCATCTTTAAACATGCTTTTCCACAGAGGCATAACGAGCTCTTTTGAGTGGTCCAGCCGGCTGTCAATCTTCCAAACTAGGCAGCTGATTGGTTCTGCCCGGTCCCATCAGTTCCGCAGGTAGCGGACTCCCTCCCCAACCAAAACCCAAACCTACACGAAACCATGGCACCTAACGAGAGCCAGTGTAGCTTGTAAAAACCCAGCCAGTCAGCAAAATCAGAATAGGTAACGAAGGCAGGTAAAACAAAATAGAAAGTGCAGTTGTTGGGACATGAATTCTGACTTGTTGCAACAGAATATTACCCTCTGAGGTAAGTGCTGTCTGGAGGCCTTTCTGCTTTCTTCCTCAGGAAGCTCTCTTCCTTACCCAGCCTTCCAGGTAAGTCACCTTACTGATCCCTTCCAACATAATAAAATTCTCAGTCTGTGTTCAGGAGAAGGTCATCAGCAAGAAAACAATTTTGAAGCTCTCTGAGCACTATGGGACCAAAAGAAAATTAGTTTTTCACTTTCTGAACATGCTTCCCTGCTAGAAGGACATGGCCTGGCCTTGCTATCAGTGACAAGGCAAATGGTACTGCTATTCATGACTGAAAATTTAATTTCTAGGGACCTCAAGTAAACTCCTCTTATTCCTTTCTCCATCTGGACACTACTAATAAAGACTTGCTAAAAATTTAGATGTTGTAATGCCAAAAAAATTGAACTTGAGAAGGAAACCAAAGAAACCTTTCTAACCAGTAAACACCTGTAAATTCCTTTTATATTTCTACACAGTTTTCTTCTGTCATGAGACTGCATTGAGGTGGGACAGGTTACGATTAATATTAGCCATTTTTACCAGATTACAGAGGTTACAGTGAAATATTTTTAAAGAAAAGGACAGGGTTAGTAGAGAACGTAGGCCTTAAAAGTCCAGAGTTGGGCTGGGCTGACTCACATGAAATCTACTTCCAGGCAACTTCAGTCAGGTGGTAGAGGGTCCCTGAGAACTTTTAGTCTACATGCTGCTCCACATGGCTGGCCTCAGCTTCAAGGGCACAAAAATCAAGAGATTTAGAATTTGTTTCTTACAGCTTTAATTTTCCAGTCAGGCTTCAGCCTATTAGAGTTAATCCTTTTCCACCTCTCACACTGCGTAGCAAACAGTTGCTAAGCGTTGGTGATAATGAGCATCAGCTACAGCAAGCTCCAGAGAATCACTTAGTTACATGTGATTGTATTTTATCTATGTGCTGTACCTTGACCACACTGTTTAACTAACAGAATGTCTAATTATTAGCTACACAAATCACTCATCTTCAATTACATCAGGCTTCTGTTTGCTCTTGCTGTCACATTCCCACAACATTATCATTACTAAAATTTAAATTCACGTGTACTAACTAAAAGCAAATATTAAAAAAAAAAACCAAACACAATCCCAAACTGCCAGCTACAACATAGTTTTCAAGACTGTTTCCTCCTTGCATTTCTGTGAAGTTAAAAGAGAACAATCCTTGACAGGCTCATCACTTTTCACTGGAAAACAAATAGCAATTTTCCATCAAGTAAAATAATCTTACCATAAGGTGATTCTCTACTCTACTCTCAATCCAAATGTTGTAGTATTGCACTAATTTGCAAATTCCAGTAAGTGAAAAAAACGTCTCTCTAGCTTTCACTAATCTGTGTAGATTATTTGATTTGTAGATAATGCATCCTTTAGAGAGGGGTAAGCAGCTCTACAGGGGATAACAAATCACAGCAAGGATTGTTCGTTGATGTTGAGTATATCTCAAATGGCAACTTAAAATGCAGCAGCTCTGGAGGTGCTGCCTTTTGCCTCTGGTAGGCACAACCTGTTCATCCAACAACTTAAGGAGCTCTTGCCCACGACTGGCTTCTTTAATTGTAGCTGCTTTGATGACACATCCTTGGCCAGGGCCTTAGCCCTGCCTCCCCCATGCACAAAGGATACCGAGCATTTGGAATTGGGTTACAACACTGTTGATCAACACAACATATGAGCTCTCAGGACTGTTCTGCTAACATCTTCCAGAACAAAAGCAGGTAGATAACTTCGGGAAGATGTAAAGTGCCAGAACTTCAGCTTCTTTCAAGTCCATGTAGAAGAGATAAGACCTCACACAGGGTGAAATTGCGATTGCATGTGTCCAAGGTTGCCCAAGCTAACACAGAGCTAGAAATCGATCATCCCTCGGTCACAATTTAACTTCTTTGTCTTACTCCTCCTCTTTTCTGCTATTGCCAATTCACCTGAAATGTTCTAGCTGTGATTTTCTGCCAAAGTATAATTTCTCACAACAGCCTGAGGGATATCAAACATTTAAGAAATGTCTGCTTCTAAAGATAGAGCTGATCTAATTTCTTGGAAGTCTTCCTAATGATTCTTTGAAGTGCTGTAAGCCAAACATGGAAATTATGGCTAAGCAGCTTTTAAACAAGCATGCTTTTGAGCACTTTTAGAGCATATTATCCTGTTATTAATAACACTTTCCATTCAGTTTCCCAGTCACAATGGAATGTACTTTAATTTTGTGTGAAACTGGTACAGCGGTGTGCTTTACTCTAGATCTTTACTTCTGCGAGGTGATTTAAACTTTCAGCTCGTCCTGTAGGAATATCTGCAATATCGTGGTTCTAACATAGACCCTCACAGCTTCTGACACAAGAACCAATAAGAAAAAGACAGACACGACAAGCTTTCAGCAGCACCAGCACTGTGTTCACATCAATTATCTACTTCTTACAGTTCAATAAAACTGTCATTTATCTCCATTTATACACTGGAGTCTCACCATTTTGGGATATATTTCCATAGAATTCCTTCCTAATCTGTACAACCAGATTTCCTACGAAACAGGTTTTGAGATGGCAAGAAAGATGCTTACAGTATTTCCAAGTCTCACAGGAGACTTCCGTCTTCCCAGGAAGGTTTGGTTTCAATTAAATTAACCTTAGAAGAAAAAATCATTAACATAGTGCAGTTTCTGTGAATAAATAAGGACAAAAACTTTTCAAGAGATGCCAAAACTTCAAAGTTTTCCTTGCTTATGTTTTAACCTCAAACAAACTCTCTTCCTTCAGGGAACCCATTTGTCTTTTTTTGTAAGCAAGGGGGAAGAAAGCATGTCAGCACCTGATACATAATAGCACCGTGTTATCAGCTGAATCCATGATTTCTCATGAACCACTACTAGCCTGACTCCTAAGATCAAAGTGTTCTCTGCCTGACTGTGCAACCAGAGAGAATTTAAAGGAAAGCAATAGTACAAGGGTACAGAATAATTCAGGTACAAAACATTCCCCTGGCAACATTAGGAAATAAATCACATAAATAATAATGGCAAAATACACCATTCTTCAAAGGAAACAGAGCTGAGGGGAATGAAGCAACCAGGTATTTTTACAAATGGTGCTTCACCAGTGACTGCACAGTAAGCTTAATGCTGGCATTTTTAAAATCTTTGACGCACACATATTAATTATACATTCAGGACCAAAGCATTGGCAGTGTCCTTGTGGTATTTGCAGCCTATGTGCATCCCCAAGTGCCAGGAAGATAAAAGACATATTCATATAATGTTTGTTCAAAGTCCTTAGAAGGCAAACTACCCCTTAATGAAATCCATTTTTTTAGGGCAGAGGTTTCCAAAACGACAAGGGACACCAGTGCTCATGGCACAGATAGTAGATGCAACTTGCAGCCTAAGGGCTAGGGCAGCAGGAGGTGAAGTATGTCTGTGCCTTCTCTAGAAACATCACACATTAAAAGTAAACAATGAACAAGAGTATTCCTTTAAAGATAACTGGCAAGAAACAGCTAAAACACCACTCTAAATAAGCATATACTACCACATAAACTTTCCATGCTTAAAACCAGAATAGAGCCACGACTGCCACAGCCCTTTAGCAAGGTGAGCTTCTGCTACAGGTAATACAAAGGTGTTCAGATGGATCCTTGTCTGATTTTGCAGCAGGCTTTTTCCCACCTCTTCATCCTCAGATCTAGACACATTAAACACCAGGGGCTTTGATACCCAGAAAAATATCAACTATAGAGCTCACCTCCAACTCTAGCAAGCCATGAGTGAGCACCAAACATGCAACATAGCACAGTATGCAAAGAGAGTGGTTCCCAGTCAATGAAATGGAGACACAGAAGTTTAAGCACCTTGCTGTAGACTACCCATGGAATCAGTTTTTGAACCAAAACTTTCACTTGAGAGTTGTAAAATGGTGTGCTTTTCCTAAAATACTCAAGTTTTTCTCATTGTCTGCTTCTAACAGAGGAAAAGCACTTCCACCTGAGGGAGCAGCTTCCAGGAGCAATGTTGGCCATTTTCATCACCAGGTAGCTAGTGCTAACAGGATTGATCATCAAGCAGGACAATGAGGAGAAGACTCATACCTATCCAATATCTCTGGGAGTGGTAAGATCATCCACTGCCATATTCCCAAACCTCCACTGTTCTCTGAATGCCAGAACGTCCAGCTCTGCTCCTTCCCTGTCTTGTTCTCGACCAGCACCAGGGATACATTTCCCAGCAAGACACCATGGATGAGCCATGACATGCGTAGCTAGAAGAAATAAAACATATGAGATTAAACATCACAAACATTATTCAAAAGTTAGCAAAGTTCTCAATTCTTCTTTCCTTGTTGTCCAGTCACCAAAAAGTTGATTATCCCATCCTCATGCTCATGTCATCCCTTTAGGAAACTCCACAGATATGGAAGCCTGTAATACTTAGTATATGCTATTAAACATTGAAACTACTGTTTAAAACGTTTTGTTTGTAAAGTTCAGTCTAAACAGTCTGTTTTAGCTTTCACATATGTGGCTAATTCGACAGGGATAAGATTATACTTCTATTTTGAGCACTACAAAGACTACACTCCCCTAAGATGCCACCTAAGAGATTCAAGTTAAGACTAACAACTTATTCAGTAATAAACTTTTATATTCCAGCAGCAGTAGCAGCAAAAAACACAGGGAGAAGACTGCAATAAACAGGCATTACTAGTAATCACATCCTCATCCCCCAGATACTCTTTTCAAAAATCAGTTTTTACTTCCCATCCAAGTTTCTACAGATTTTTCACTTAAAGTTCAGTAATAATTTGGTGGGTTTTTTATTAATTAAAAAACTTCAGGGAACCGTTTTTCTGACATTTTTGTAATGATAATGTAATTTAATCAATTTCTATGCATTTATCCCTGTATGTAAAATTATTTTATGTAGTTTTCTCATTTTATGACTTTTCTCTCATTGTATAAAAAGAGAAACAATTCCTTCCACATCAGGCTAGTTTCACAATCCATAGTATATGAACATTGTCTTCTTAGTTTCTTGCAAAAAAGAAGAGGAGCTAGCTCTTTGTTGATAAAGAGCATAAATAAAATACCCATATATATTATATTCAGGAGCTGGGTTTCATCTCAATAACCAGTAGAGGTGAGAATGCTGAAGGAATGAGTTTGTTAAAGCTACATTAAAAACGGATGTTTTGGACACAAGAAAGTGTTCAGCACAGTATCTGGTATCCATATATATTAAATAAAGCACTCTATTTTTTAGCACTTCAAAGCCACCACCAAAGTCAGGAGGCTTGGAATTAAGTTTGTGTTTTACAAAGGAACATCTGATAACATTACTTCCTTGCTTTGATAGCACAGAACATCCATATCCATTTCTCAACATAAACCAAATCTGCTGAATTTTACTTGCTGTTCCTATGTCATGGTGTAGAGTTTGTTCTGGCAGCCAAATCAGATGTAGGCATCAAAATGACAGAAGTGTTGCTATTATTCCTAGTTTATGATCACAATTTTGGAGTGGGTGGAACAAAATTCTGGATATCGATTGTATTAATTATCACTACTGGATTTGGGTAAACACAATGGTTCATCCTCCTGTCTCCAAAGCTACAAAGAAAGAAGTGACTTTATACTGCAAAACTGTGGCAGAGACTAAATAATCTAGATAGGGCTCTTCTGTCTCTCCAGTCCAAAAATCTCTGGATTTGCCTGGAATCCATTGTACTGTGTGACCCAAGGACTGATAAATGTACAAACAGATATGCCAGTTTGTGTCTGTGAAACCATTTTGTTACATTATTTTGGCCATACATCCAAAATTGATGTGTAAGATTTTGAGTGGTTCAGCCATCACAGGTTCCACACAGTGCTTCTGGGGACAAGCTGGTCAAGTCTGGACACTGGTCAAGTCTAACTTCCAGCTCACTCCCACCCCAGTTCTGGGAAAGGATTCACAGAGTCCCATGGCTATTTCCACAGATGGAGTGGAAAACACAACATCAAGTGTGAGGATTTTCACCTCCCAGACACCAGAGAGAAAAAGCAGAGTCAAGCAGGATGGCCAGGAACTATTTCAGATTCACAACATGATGGCCATGGAGGCAGATGAGGAGGACTGAGTTCATACCCAACAATCAGAACCAACACTGATGAGAGAGGCTGCTGACAAATGTTTGTGGTATAGGAGGCTAATGCTGTCAAGCTTGGTGTCTGCATGGCTACTCCTAATAGGTGACAATCAAGATGAAAGAACTTGTTGGGTATTCTGTATTTTCAAATGCCTACAATAGAAGGCATTTTATTTTAGTGTGAATGTAAAGTAAAAATGTACACCTTTCAGACCCAATAAAGTAATTTCCCTTGAGAAAACTGATCAGGACTTAACTATTTGTTTTAATAAGTTTGGAATGCCAGTGGACATTTAAAACCCTCCACCTATACCAGGGAAAGCAATACCTCTTACTGAGAGTCCACTTTTAGGACCCAAGTGTCTACTCCCTGTGCAACACACTACGTGACATTTTTAATGCAGGTGAGTTGGCACTTCACTGTGCCATTTTGGTAGCTTAAAATTTGAGAGGTAAAGCTCCCACTAGGCAGAAGCTTTCAGACCTCTGTCTCTTCTACCAGAAGGTAAGAGGCAACATCTACGTGGTCAGAAGCGAGGGAAGAGCAAGCCTTTGGTAGCTGTTAACGTTACACTAGAGCAAAAGCTGAAGCAATTGATGAATTGGAATGAATGCCTTTGCACACATGTCAGCTGTTTGAAGGAAAGAAGTAGCTGGCAATAGATGTGGGAGATCAGCTCATTGGCAAAGTGCAATATGCAAGCTCTAATGAACTGGCTCTGAGTGAATCGACTGGCACTGTGTCCAAATGGGCATTTTTGGCTGCGATTTCCATGGTTTCTAAGCTTCACAGCAGGGCAGTCCAGGTCTTTTCACACCTGCTGAAGTGAACCAGAGCAGATGATGAGCTGGATACCATAGTAAAGACTTCTGAATGGAGCTGGCATTCATTCTGTAGAATACAGCATCAATGATGGCAGATGGCAGTATATACACAGTGCGCCCTGCAAGCAGAGCAGTGGCACATTTGGAAAATTCTAAATCTGGGCTGTTGGAGGAATACCCCAACATTATGCATCAAACATCTCCTTCTGTGTTAAACTAGCAGCAAAATATTCAGAAGCTAGAAACATCACTGAGAAATTAATTAAGCATATAAGGTAGGTAGTGGCTCAATGGCACGTTGCTTTCTGGCTTTAGAACCCACCAGAGCTGGTGATCAGCTGTTCATATGCAAACCCACTGACTCAGTAAATGAAATGCTCTAAACCAGTCTGGGGAAAATTAACGGGAGAGAGAGCCCATGGTAAATACATAGCATATTGAGGCAAAACTCAGGTCAGATGGCTACATGTACTACACTGCAAATATCATCTGGAAGGGTGACTTCTGAGAATCCCCTTAGCCTCTGAGATGGTGGAATTTCTGACCTGACTAACAGGAGACTCAATTCATCCCAAAGAGAAAAACACCTAAAAAAATAATCCTTATCAATATCAACAGGGCTTGGCAGGTAAAGAAAAACAAGGAAGGTAGATTTTCCAGCCCAGCTGCATAATTTCACCACTACTTGAGAACTGAGACTTCTATTTTACTTCCTTATGCAAAAAAAGAGAAATAAAATCCCAAGAACCTTCTGGGTGAAGTTTGAACTTGCTGACACCTGTGAATCTACTTTAATGGCTAGAAACATTCCAGCATAAACTGTCTCCAAGATGCCTGACCGAGGACCAATGACACACACTTGCAGCAGCATAAATAAAACATTCTGCAGTGACACCCTGGAGAGCTGCTGTTTCTTTTTCCCCCCTTTCTGCATCGCAGTGATGCTTGACTATTAGCATCATGATCCTACCCGGCAGGAATAGATACTTGGCCATCAAAAAAGAAACTGGAAAAGAAAAATATACTTCAAACAGGGCTTGGAGTAGAGTGTTTTTAAGAAGACAGAGAAATGTCAACAGGCATTTTGCTCCCAAGGAACTGCTGTAGCTGGATCTCACTGGTGGCTCTCTGGCTAGCAACACCTCAACTCTAGACCATAGGTTTTCATCTTGTGAGACAGCACATTACTTAGTTATGATGCACCCAAGTGCTTGCTTCCTTGCTCCATGATGCTTGCTCAAAGGAATTGTTCAAAATTTGCCTTTGTCAGGCAAACAGTGGATTCTTGAAATACAGACATTTATTCTCCTGAAAAACATCATTGTTTTCTTGTGTCTTCTTCACTGGAAGGGAAACAGTAGAAATTGTTTTCACCTGTGAATGCACTGACCCAGTAAATGTAACTCAGGTACTAAAGAAGCTTGGAAAACATCTCATTGTTGAGGAGAAACTGAAGCTGAAATTTGGAATACGATTTGCACAGAATTAGGCAATAGCTGCAGACACATTTGCCAAGTCTTAGTTAGCTTTGTACATGAATTTGAGCTACCTTTGACATGTGGAGTTTATCATACTGTTGATATTTTTTTTCTTACTAGAAATGAGAAACAGTTGCACACAACAGTACAAGCAAAGACATCTATTACTACTGTTCAGCAATTCAGACTTGGACTCTTATGAATAATAAAGAGGATCAAAAGGTCTTGTTCCTGGTTTTCGGCCAGATCTACAACAATGCATGATCAGACTCTCTTGTAGTCTGCAGACATTTCTGCTTTAGATGAGGACTCAGGTGTGCAAGCAAAAACCTTTTGTAAATGATAGAATTATAATTAACTGATCTGATTATGTAGCTTTAAAATACCTAGGCAGGCAAGAGAAGCTAATGTTTTATATGAACAGACTCTCCCACTATTTATTCTCACATTATTTCTTACTTTATTTCAGAAAACAGACAAAGAGAAAAATAAAAGCAACAACAAAAGAGAAAGTGTTCAGAATTTTGCGTCAGAGTTCTGTGGAATGACCAGCATTCAAGAGATTTCAGATGTTATAGATCTTCTGATCCAATGACACAAAAGCTGGGTGGGAAAGGGAGCAAGAGAAGACAGATGACAGTGAATAAGCTGTACAGATTTTAAAAACAGTATTTTAAAATAAAAAAGTATGCTAAGAATATTCTGCAAATAAAGCTCATGAAAGGCTGAGCTAGAGGCATATCTATGTTGCATTTTTCATGCTCGTAAATTTTCAGTGTCAATGTTATTACCATGTACGCTCCTAAGTTATTTAAATCTCAAGGAGTAGAGGAGAAAAGGAGACACACTCTGCAGGTGTAAGCATGGGGCTCAGAATGCACTCAAGGAATGATTTATATTATTGACTTATATGCCTTGAAAAAAAGCAACACTTCTGCATAGAAAAGAGAACTGAATTAATAAACAGAGAGGGTGAACACATCTTTATATCTGTAAACCTGACTGAGAAGGCAAACTTCAACTATACTGTTCTACATCAACATGTTATATTTATTTTAGAGAGAGAGTATATTTACATTCAAAAAATAATTTCAGGTATTAAAGAAATCTGGCCCAGTTTAGTACTAACTTACATAACATCATGGTGGCTTTCAAGAACCAGGTAGTTGAAATGTCAAAATAGCATCAGAAAAATATTTTCATTATTTTAAACACAGACAAAAGCACAAAGCAAATTTACTGTCACAGGAATCTGTATTGTTTTCCAGCACAACTATACCCTTTAAATTTGACCCAGGACCTACCAGGAAAATGAAATAATCTGGTTCCTAATCACAAAGCAGTCTCTCTTGCAGAGTTACCTTACTTTATGGAGGTGCAAGCAATAACATTTCAGGCTAATTTCAAATTCACCCCCACGCAGGCAACAGCAGCTCTGCTGTTACTTTCCTTCTCTGTGACAGCCCACACCAAAGCTGCATGCTCGGCTTTTACTTATCAGGCATGGCACTGAGATTCTGCCACAGATTCCCTTGAGCTGAGCAAAGCACAGCCTTTCTAAAAATCATTCTCCAGACTCCTCATGTTTCTGGAGGGACTTCCAAGCATAAGGAGTAGTAACAACCCACCATGAAATGAAATATTGCAGGATAGATGCCAGACTACAGCCCAGGCAGGCATAACTGTACCAGCCTCTTATATGTTTTTATGAGAGAAACCCACACACTTTGGGAAGAAACAGGCATGTTTCTTATGATCTAAAGGTATCACAAGGTCCTTCAAGCCCTGAGGATGCAGACATCAGGGAACACCTCTAAAAAATTAAGGAAAAGCAAGTCAGCACATGTGATTGCACCTTGCAGCAATAATGCTAGACTGAGGCAGATGAGATTACCTTGTTGTCTAGACATGGGGGTCAGAACTGAGTCTCCAGCTTCCACACAAAGGTGAGTAGTCCCTGGGCACCTGCAACACTTCTGTCAGCTCTCTGACTTCTTTGTGAAGTACTGAGAAGTAGGTGGCCATGATAGTTTGGAAACTGCACACCTAGGGGCTGTCAGCTGTGGAAAGCAATTAGTTTTGCAATGGGTGGTGTCTGAGATGACAGCACTTCCTTGGATTTAATTGCAATGTGGTTTCCTAGGTTCCCAAACACCTTCTAACAACATGTATAGGCATTTCTTCTTCAAAATGAGGAAACGCCTATCCCTCCCATGCTCCTCTTTGCCCTGTCAGCCTTGTACATGCCAGCTGATTCCCACTCAGAGGAGGGGAATCTCAGTGTGACAGAAGGGGCAAATAATGCAGTGCTTTACTGCTTGAGCTCTAAAAACTCTGCCTTTAAACCAGGCCACTATTTGGCTTAATTCTTTGCACTTCACATGCATTCCTATGCTCAATTACACGTGCTTTGCTTCCAGTGAACTTTTACAGTGGGTTAAAAGGTTTTCACTCTTGATTACTGTGACTGTTTGGTTCCAGAAGCATTTCCTGAGCTTTTTGTTGCATCTCCCCTCTGTGGCTACTTCAGGGCAATGGAGTACCCTTCACAGACTATGTGAACCACTTCCTGCATTCACTCAAGATTTAGTAGAAGTGCCACAGTTTCCCTCTTCCATACAGAGTGGGTTTTAAACACAGACTTAAAGGGGTCAACAAGCAAAGGGCTCTACTGAAAGTGCAACATGAAAAAGATAACAAAGGCTGTCTGGACTGCAAACAAGAGAGACTCTTTGAAGCCAGGATACTCCAGCCAAGATTTAATAAAACAACAAAAGGAAAGAGAAAAACTAACTGAACCAAGAATAAAGGTCAGCATCCCAAACTGACTGCTCTGACCTGCCAAAAGCACTGAAGAACAAAGAAAATGAAAATATAAGGCTGCTCAAAACAAACAGGAGTGAAGTGCAATACAAAGCTATATACAAAGTGCAAGGCACATTAGGGCCAATCTCAAAAGTGTGGGAAAGTACAGGCTGTGTTTATTACAGCATCTCCTGTGTGCATTTTTATCCTTTTCCCATCTTCTAATGCATGTGGGGCAGTGCAGAGTTCCCTTCCTGAGTTAACAAGGAACCTCCTGCAGGGCATGGAAAGGGCAGGCAGCCCTGCATGCTCCTGGTGACTGAGCTCAGGCTGCAGGGAACACAAAGATGGAGTGTCACACTAGTCCCACACTCAGTGACAGTTCATATGCCAAGCTCATCCGTACTGTGGTGTCTCCAAGTGCTAACACCAACACCACTTCATACAGCTGCCCAGAACCTCAGCAGGGAAGCTCTTTGGACCAGGCTGGTCAGTCACCTCCTTTGCCAGTATCCCCCAGTATAAGATTAAACAGCCAGGCTCAGGGAGGAAAAACAAGCTTGAAGCATTAGAAACTCCTTGTGGTTGGCACCCACTGTGGACTGTTTCCTTATCAGCTTTGAGTTCTGGTTTCATGGACGTCCTGGCCAAACCCCAGAATGCTCCAGGCCTGGTAAAGAGCACTATGGCAGGTTATGTTCCTCATGCTGAAGCTGAAGTAATTAATTCCTATGAACACCTCAGGCTAAAAAGCATGGTGTCAAGCTTCTGCTGTGGTGAGTGTGATTGGTCTAAGATGACTAGATAAAAGAAAATTAAGGGATAAAGGGGAAAAATAACTTCGTTGAACAGCAGGTGCTCCAGAGCTTCAATGTAGCAGGGGAGAAGAGAGAGGAGTCAAAAAGACCAAACTGGGGATGTTTGCTGACCTCCTTGTTACTCTCAGGAGAGCGAACAGATATTTCAAGGATCATGAGAGCTGGATCAAATACAAGAGGAAGGGCAGATTTATGGCTGGATCTGATGGTGGAAGAATAAATGGGTCTAATTCACACACATGCTTGCTGAAATCCCTTTGTAATGTGAGTTTTGTGTATTTTCTGTGGGATTTCAGTTGCCAGAGAATCTGTCTCAGTTGTGACATGCCAGGTAAAGCTGTCAGCAGTGACAGGTAAAAGAAAACAGCATTATAGTATTTTCACAACCCCTTTTCTGACTATAGTTTCACTATTAGGAAGTTTGTTAGCACCTGATGGAGGAAAAAGTGTGTTAGGGAGGCATATCTCCTTTCTCCTCCTCTGTCGTGTTGAGAAGTGGAATTAAATTATTCTGTGCACAGACAGATTGTTCCAGTAAAATAGAATTTGAAGCCACCAGGGACCCACGGAGAAGAGAAGCTTTTACACTATATGAAAAGGCAAGAGACAAAACCCTTGCCAAAACTCCTTCACTCTTTATTACCGACAGCTGCAACGCTGGATGCGTCCGGATGCCTTTTAAGTGCCAAGGGGAGTGACGGAGGTGGGATGGCATGTGAGCAGATGAAATACATGGCAGCTTCTCCCCCGACGGCAAGTTTAATTATTTGCAGTGTTGTATACACAAGAAAAAAATACACAGATATTGGGAAATCATTCACTGTGATTCCTGTGTCAGGTGGATTATGGAAAACACTCGCTCTTGCTGGTCCATGGCAGAACAAGGTCTTAAAATATTCAGAACCTGCATACGCCTTTGTCACAGATGGGAGGAAAAACAAGGTAGAATATATTTCAAAGACAGAGAACATGAATATCAAGAGAGCAAAACCAGAGGTGCTTTGCTGTATGAACTGAGATACCCAACAGAAGTGAAGCAAAACAAACTTTAAGGCAAAGAAACACCTTCTTCTGTGTAGTTTCATTCCACAGAACTTTCTAACACATCCCTTCTTTTCCTTTCTGCATTTTAAGTTCACTGGAACAGATTCTTTTGTCTGTTCAGTGCTCAACCAACAAACAGCTGCACTCTGTTAGTATCAGTTTTCCTAAATCCCTCTGCTCCAGGATACAGAGGCTTATGTGAGATTTCTGAGTGACTGTGAGGATGTGAAATGCTTTAACTCACCAGGCATGGTTCAAAGTTAGAAATAAATCTTATCAGTGATTCTACAACTGTGAAGCCACAGAATAAGAAGATGCAGACAGGTAATCTTTCTGAAGGTGCACTTTAAGGGTTAAATACAACGGACTCAGAAATGACAAACATGAGCAAGGTTGTCTGGCAAGCCTTGATGTACTCTCTTAGGCTGATGTCTTATGACTGTCAATAGCTTTTCTGCTTGAATATGAACCTGGCTCCATTCTGGATGAATTTCTGTTGCTGCTAACTTCAGCACTCCTATGAACGAGGCTACACAAAGACTGGTAGGTTTGAAGTGCAGCAGCATGAAGAGCTGCCAGCCCAAATCCCAGCTGTGCTAGAGAAAGCATGTACTGCCTTTTCTGAATGGCTCAGGGGCAGTCCTGAAGCCTGTTCTGTCTTGGATATTGCAAATATAATGCTTGTTCATGCAGTAAGATTCTTCCTCTCTGTGTTTATGTAACGCTGGCTGCTCTTCTCTTACAGCATACACACCTAATTATGAAGATTGTAATACATCATGTGATGCAATGAGGACAGGATATGATAGGATTTTCAAAGCATATTTTGTGGTATTCAAGCAGAAAACCATATCTTTCCCCTGCACAGTGGGCATAAATAAGTATATTTTATAGAAAATAAAATCAGAGATAGTGTTTGCCTTCCTACCGACCTAGTAGCTATATTTGAAAACCTGAGTCAAACACACAATAAAAGTTCTGTAAATTACACAAGAAAAGAAAACATTATGACTTGCCTCACAGGGGGAATTCCTCAAAGGAGCTGGAAATGCCATGCTGGTCATGACAGTCTTTGCTACTGCTGGTGCCTTGCTGGTGTTAAGGAGGAGTGCACAACCTGGATGAAGAGAAGGAAGAAGGTCAAACTGCATCACTCACCTTTGGGTGTCAGGATTTGTGAAACCTGCCCCAAGCCTATGTTAGCTGGCTCCTACCACAGCAGAATTCCAGGGAGCAGAAGGCTTTTTCCATTTCTTAGGGATGCAGCTTCACTTACCTAACAAACACACTCAGTAACCATATATAAGCAGTCTGTCTGCCTTCCCTCCACTGCTACCTGCTGTTGCTCCACGACTTCAAATTCATCCTACTTGCAAGGCAAATAATAAAGTGTATCTTTTATGAACAAAAAGTAACTTGGAAGGAGATAATTTATTTTGACCAAAATCAAATAAAAATACAGCTATAGCTATAGCTCTTTGCTACTTGAATAATTTGCTGTAAACAAGAGGAACAAGGGCAGTATTGAGTTTTCTCTCAGCAGCTTGAGCCTTCAGCTGTTTGTATGAGAAGGATTAGAAATGACTGGCATTTAGGTAGGAGAACCAAGTACATAGAAATTGTACAGAAAAGCGCAACTCAAGGGATCATGAAGCAAAGAAGAAAAATTAGGATATGAAGAGGGGAAAAAACAGAAGTACAGAAAAATAGAGGAAATAAATTGGAAAATCAGAAAGAAAAACACACGTCAGTATGGCAGAGGGTCAGGCAGGTGAACATTTGGTATGAAGTTTTTTAGAAGGGGTCAAGATCTGTATCTGGTGCCAGTGGTAGAGACTGAGGAACCACTTTGTATGCTCAAGACAAAAAGAGAGAAGGACAGTCTTTTGCTCAAAGCACTCAGAGTGGAAAGATGGCATTTGAGAGCAGAAAGTTGTGATTTGTTTCACTGGAGGCTGAATATGTAAGTACACAGGAAAGCTTGCCGTGTGTTTCATTCCCTCTCCTCACCACGTGTGTATCATTTTTGCTGTTTATGCTTTACACTTACTGTTCACTCTCACACACCTTCTATCGAAGGGAAACGGTTCTGTTCTGGGTGTCCAATCCGCCACGGAGAAGGATGGGACACAGAGGAGCCTGGCATCCAGCCACAGTCCTCTTCTTCAAACGAACAGTAAAAGCCAGAGGGAAGCTTTCCTGCAAGAGGGAAAGACACACAGACAGAAGCAGCCAGGTGAGCTGAGGAGGCTGCTCCTGGGCTCACACAGGAGCTGCAGCCACTATTCCAACCTGGTTTGCCCAGGGTGTGTGGGCTCTCCCAGCTCCTCAGTCCTTTTGTGTAGAATCACACACGTGCCTGACCATGGGGAGGGAGGAGCAGAGGGAAACAACCCCCAGGTCGTGACTAAGTGACTCCCCACACACTTAGACAAGCCTGAGTGAGAGGACACATCTCATTACACACCATGGGGGTCTCCTAAATACCCGGGCTCTCAACTCTGCCAGTATCAGCTCTCTCAAGGTTACATCTTGGAGATGACTTTCCTAAGCACTGCTTCTGCAGCCCCAGAGGGAAATCTTGGAGAGGGATAAATTCCCTAAAAGATTCCCTCCTTTACGGTCCAGGTTTCTACTCAGCCCAGCTCAGCAACATGATCTCTCTGTGAGCACTGATGTGGCCTCAGGTAAAGCACTGAATCCTTTTGTGCCTCAGTTTTTTCACCTGTGAGTCTCTTCCATGAGATGAATGGCTGAAAAGAAGATAGTTTATTTTAATCCATACTTTCAGGCTTTGAAGCCCGCTCATTCTGTCACTGGCTTAGGATTTCAGTTTCCAGCTCCAAACAATAGAGCTCAATTAGCTTATTGCCTTGAAATTTGCCAGTTTTAAAGCATTACTCATCTCATTCAAAGCAGAAGGTAATCTCATGCCTTCCATTTACTTCTCTACCTACAACTGCAAGCTCTTCTTATAAAAGGTGCAAAGTATTGTTCCTTTTGCTCCAAGAAAGGAGAATGATACAAGAACTCTGTTTAAAATTGCAAGATAAAAGTGAAATTTCATGTGCAAATACATATCCAGAATTTTTTCTTTTTACTTTTAGCTGCTTGATAAAATCAGAATAAAAACTTCTTCACTTACAAGCAGTAGGATAGACCACAAACTTCTAAAGCAAGAGAGTCTTCTGGTCAAGTGATACCAGTAATTTCATTAGCTCCTCTACAAGAAGAGGAGGCTCTTGAACATAATTTGTTGTGATTACTAATTTCTTTTCCCCCTGAAATTATGTATCTATAAAGTGGCTGTCAGACAATGGGGCACCAGTATTCAAGCTCCAGATCATTCAAAATGTTTAAGTACCAGCAGATCCCCCCGGTTGAGGTTTTAGATCAACAAAATATCTGCTCACAGGGCCCCAGCTTTGACTAACACACCTCAAAAGGCAATTGTCATTGGCACATGCACGGGTACCTTGGTGTACCCAGAGGGAACAACTGTGGAACACCACAGCTGCAGCATCTAGACCACAAACATTTGATTTTCTGGGACTCTGAATTACAACTCACTTGTCAGAGGAAAGTGAAACAAATCCTGTATCTGTAGCTTTTTAGTAGGGCTAGTTTTGGACCTGGAACCTGACATCGAGGCAAGAGCCACATTTTAGTGGTATTTTGTGCAAGCATCTAAACCTGTCATGAAAAAATCAAAACCTGTACTGAAGTTAGGGCTTTTTCAAGTCTTTCCTTTTAAAAGTCTCTAAATTCATTCAGCCTGGTCTTTAAATGTGAAGCTGTTAAGCAGAGAGTTACTTCCCTGTGTTTCCCCCCTCTGCAGAACTTGATTATATTTCATTGCACAGCCTGAGGCTGGGATACAAAGAAAATGACAAATTATAATGTGCCCTGAATTCCCACTGAAACAGCTTGGCTCGGTATCCAACGGAATTCATGTCATGGCCATTTGCTATCTAGGATGTAAACAAGTCACAGCAGCAGGAGGAGTCATCTAAGTAGCAATCCCTGCCTGAAGGCCAGAAAAAGTTCACTGTCGATGAACAAGTAAGGGCATAAATAAGAAGCTGTTACTTTCACAGAATATTTCATTCCCTTTTCCCAAATTAATGTTTTATGAGTTTTCAGATGTCTCATGCCCTGGATGCATTTTCTTTGCCACTCTTTCTTACCTTGAATATGTACAGCATCTGTGATTCCATGTGTTGGTACTCCACAGAGACCTCTTTGGCTACCACTTCTTTCCAACCTGTACTTCTCCATTTCATGTGTTTGTGATTGAAACTCACATTAGCACAGACACTGCACTGATGAGGGGAAGCTGGTCTGACTTTATAGGAAAATCAAGGAAATGAGGGGGCAGGGGTTACTTTTACTGCCATTTTGGATATAAATACCAGCGACAGGCCCCTCAGAAGATTTAGGCCTTAGTAAGATTTAGATACAACTTGTGGGTTTGAGATGGAGAACAGAGTACTCCAGTGAAACTGAAGCACTCTGAGAATGAGTCTCTCCTTCTATATGGGTGAGGAAGTAGGGAAAAGCTGTCAGATGTTAAACTTGTTCTTAACCAAATATTTTCAAGCCTTCAGAATTAAATACCTTTCAAGAACAATCTAAATAAGTTCTTTTTAACTCAGATTTTTCATCCATTAACAGCAAGAGAATCAGTAATATAAGTTATGAAGCAGATGGAGTTATCTCTTGCTTCAAAACTAGGCGAAAATCAACCAGATACTACAGTTTAAACTTTTTGGTGAAATTCCAAACTGGTATTATAAAGAACAAAAGCATTAAAGTCTACTCTGTATGTACAAACCTTTACAAGTTTAGGAGGAAATCTCAGAAGCCAAACAGATCAGCTACTCAATTTAAAGAATCACATGAAGCTTAAACATGAGTTTGTTTCAATGATTGCTTCTATGCTAGCGAAGTTGGCCAGCCAACTTCTACCAGAAATGAAGCATAAAAAGAGAAAATACTTTTCAACAGTCAGCAGAGTTATCCTTTAATGGCAGATGGCTTTGCTGAGCTCAAAACTGCCAGAGGTTAGAATTTGTTTCTCTAAGTACAGCTTTTGATAAAGAAAGAAGCAGAAGGATTAGTGTATACAAGACAAGAACCTTAAGAGCATAGCAAGGCATGGCAACAGGTTGCTACTTCATCATTTTGCTTGCAGGAAGACCCTTCTGGGCTGTATCTGGACAAAACCAAATCCCACGATTTCTTCATTTATTTTTGTATTTGGAAGGCAAACTGGTCCCTATAGAATTGATTATCAATGCTTTTTTGGTCACTCATACACATTATCAGAAAATCAAACTTTATAGGTTCCTATCCTAGCTGCCATCTGCTCTTTTGACTGATGTGTGCATGCTGTCCTCCAGCCACGTAGCACAGCCTGGGTCCCTCCTTTTAGGAATCAGACACTTGTCTTCCTTATCTCACCTGCTAAGGTGTTTAACATCCTTAAATATTCAATGAAGTAGAGTGAAAATTACCCTATAACCCAGTGATTATGAGATTTATTTGAAAGATAAAGAGGACATTACTTCCTGTTCCAGCTAAAATTCATAAAATGTGCAAGTGCAACCTCAGGAGAGACTTGGGTTACCATTTTCTTCTGAACTCCAGACCACAAGCTTGGAAACTCTTTATGGAAATAGAAAATATGGGTTCAAAGTCACCGAAGAACCGGTCCTGGGTTAATTGTATCTTGAGTGAATCCTAAAAATTCTAGGTCTCTAGATAACAAATATACTACTGATACCTCAATTATTTTAAATGTTATAGTTTTAAAAATACATCCATTTACTTACCTAACATGCTTGGACTGATTGACCAATGTTTTCCAAGGATGATTTTTTTTTGTGTGAATTTGTCACAGAAAGTAATATAGTTTTGGACTAGCCAGAATTATATGCATCCCTTTTCAATAAAGTTTTAACTTTTGCCCTGACTTGCTGCCCTGCAATGAAAGATTATTGAACCAAAATCCCAGGTATTGTTAACTAAAAAGAGAAGTACAAAACTGCTAAAACAAATTCACCCTTTCTGTAAAACAGAGTCCTGCCCATCTGTGTTAGTAAATAATTTGAGTTTTCATGTCTGTCTTGTACCACACAAAGTATATTACATGTGATTACTACAATAAGAGAAAATATGTCAGGGTTTTTTGCAGTAAGTTTTATCCATATGTTGAGTGATTTGGTAAACTACTTATATAGAATTTGTTGCCTAGCATTAATAGATAAATTTGCTGAAGCCTAAGGCACAAGCTGTGAACTTTCACCAGATATGCTGAACTTTCCACTCTGTCAAATAACAGAAGATCCAAGGGCTGGTTCAAGACAGAAGATAAGGAATTCATTAACAGAAGCTGCAACCTTAGAAATAAGAAACATCCTACCTAGAGGCAAGCAAGGGACATGATGAAGAATAGGAAGAGCTCCCAGAGCCTCATATGGGAGACAACTGGTCCAAACAGTCACATGAAGGCTGGCGAATTCAGATTGTTTGAGTATAATCAACCAGGGACTTCTTTGTTCAAGGTCATCTTTGGAGGCACCCAGCTCCAGCTATTACACCATTTAAAAAAGGTACTTTTATAGAGGAATCTATCTTTCAATTTATGAATTCAGCAGAAACTTAGAGTCAAAGCCCGCCATGGTGGGTGGCACATGTAGTTTCTGTGTCTGGAAAGACATGAATTTACTAGCAGAGACACAGCACCAGTGCTATCTGAAATATTAATGTTTGCCTGCAATGAATGCTCTGCAAAGTAATTTCCAGCGTGGCACTTCCATCAGGCTGGTGAATCCGTGTGTCTGATCCCGAGTCAACACACACGCGCCTCATCCCGCATCTGCCTCTCTGAGGCTGTCATTTACTCCTGCAAGGATATTGTGACTCAAACAGCAACACGCTTTTCTCTAGGGGTCATCCCTCTCTGATTTTACAATTTCTACACAGACTAATTGGTTGCAAAGCAGAACAAGCACCATGATGTTTCTGTGGCCATTAATAAGTAAAGAGATGTTAGCAAACAGCAGGCTGTAGAGAGATCCTTTTCAGCCAAGACAGGAACAAAAATCAAATATTAGGGAAAAAAAATAAAATCATAATAAAACCAATCAATACCTGTAAAGCTAAAAGATTGTGAAAGGCAAAAAACTCCAACACCTCCCTGAAGCTCAAAGATAGAAGCCTTTGATAATGGCATTTTTAAAACCTCTTGCCTCAGTTTTGAGCATAGCTCATCTTTTTTTGACAGCTCTTATGTTTAAGCAGAATCATTTGGGAAACCCTTTTCTCTGCTTGATAAATCTGAATCACTTTTTACCACACTTGCAAAAAGCTGATGAAAATATCCGTGTTGCTCAGGGGTAAAATGACAACTAAAATGCTGAAAGATGACATATGTTTTGTGTTAGGCTGCCATGCAGATATATCTGACACCTCAAACATTAGATCACTTCTCTGTTTTGTGTAAGAAACCTTATGCCAACAATATTCAGCACTGTAAAGAAGCAAAAGCAGAAGGATCAGCCATAGAACTGAGCAAGCTTGTAGGTGGATAAGCAGGCATTTCCACAGCCTGGGCTCTTGCTCAGGAAAGCCGTGCTTTTGTGTTCCTTGAGTAGAAGATAGAGTTTTTGGATCTTTTGGCTGGAAGTAAGAAATCTCATTTCCAGTATCTATGGGTGAATGCAAGCCATGTGCTCTCCTCAAGCTGGGAGTGATGCTCTGCTAAACAGCTGGCTAAATATTTTCTGCTTTTTACATTTTCTCACTGACATTCTCAGTACATTCCTCTGCCAACACAGCTGCAAGTGCCATATTGCCCTGTGGAAACAGCTATAGATGAATGGAGGGAGAAGAGAACCAAACCAAGCCCTGTGGATAACATATGCCAGGGAGGCATTGGCTGCTTTTCCACTGGGCTCACCATGGGATAGAGGGTGACAACAAGGGGCAAAAGCAGAGCCACCCTCCTGATCTGTGAATATGAACAACAGACTGGCCAAAAGTGCACCCAATGTCTGAAAATACCAGGCATGCATGTTCCTCTAGGCCTGCTCCATCCCATGGTGGCATTAATTTGCATCCATGATTGGTACAACTCCAGCTGGTGAACTCTGCCCTTCCCCCTGGTATAGAAAAGACTACCCCCACGAGGAAGAGCCCTTTATGGCACACAGGCACCAAAGTGTGTCTGAACATACAGTTGAGGGTAAATGATGTTTCTCTACTTCCCATGAAATGAAAATGCATTCAACTCTTTTTTAATTATAGAGTAGAACACTACAAAAATGCCATTATGAGGTTTTAGAGTTCTATTTTAAAGCTCTTAGATGGAAATAAGGTTTCAATATTACTAATATGAAGCATTATTGGTTCTAAGAAGCTGCAAGTCCACAGTGCTGACATTGTTCCTGTGAATTTAATGTCCACTGAGTGTGTCATTAAAGAATATAATTTCAAATTGTAACAATGTCTAAAATGATGGAGAAGCATGTAATTTCAAGCTTTTAGCTAGTTTCCTAGATGATCCCAGGTCAAACCAATGTTCTCCACGCCAGTAAAGTCTATAACTTTATTTCTTTATTATCAGAAAATAAGTGAAATCTGCTAGAAGTTGTATATCACTCCTGTTAAGTTCTTGCTAGAAACAGCAAACATGTTTTTTACATACCAAATCAATACCATTCTAGTGTAACAGCCCACAGGCTAGATCAGCTTTGGCACATATTTTGAATAATGAACTCTCTATATTAATTTTTCTTGATATATTTGCCCTGTAGACAACCATACAGCTGACAACCCACCACTCCTAACTGTTTTTAGGCTGGCAGATGGGAGGATGCTGGAGGTAAAATGTACAGAGGTATAGAAAAAGTGATAAGGCACCTTCAAGATAGTTAAAGGAAGGTCCTAAAGTTCCACAGCACATTTTAGAAAGTACTCAGGCGCAGCAAGTTCTGAGAAAACTCAGGCTGCTATCTATCTTCTGCTGTATGTTATTGGACTACTGACTCCCGAAGAGAGGGTAGAAAACCAGAGGAATTACAAAGACACAGGAGTTGGTCAAAGACAAGCTACTCGCTCTACTCATTTTTCATCTTAGAAGTTTTCTCCTTCCTCTCTCCCTCTGCCACATGCTGCACTACATTTTGATTAAAGTTTCTCACCAACTACACATTTCATAATTCTTTAAGACATCTAGCTATTCAGGCTATACTTCCTTTGCATTTTTGATCAGGACACTGGAAGTGATGAAGCACCAAGAGCATGTTAAGAAGCTTCTGTAGAACTGAAGTAAGTGAGCCCAGAAATATCAAATGGTGGACTCCAGGCAGACACCCAGGGAAAGAGCATTTGTTATGGGAGATACAGGTCTTTTGATAGCACCAAATGAGCCTGTTAGTGCTCAGACACTGAAGTTCAAACCAATCAATGCTTCTGGAAAAGGATGGTACAACCTGGGGGTTAGGATTTACTCACTGCACATATCTCCCTCATCCTCTCCCTCAGCGCAGTCCTGGATGAAGTCACATGCCTGCCCCAGCTTGATCACTGTTCCATTCCAGCAGCTGAAGGAACCCTCCAGAGCCATTTTTGAGAGAGTAGCAGATCCTAGAGAAAAAGACAAAAACAGCAAAAACACTTCAGATAACCAAACTGCCTTCCTTTCAACCAACAGGTCATAGCATCCTGCATAACACTAAAGGGACAAACACTTCGTGAAATCTCAATTCAATACTTGCTTGATATTTTTTTTTTACCTATTTAATCTTGTCAAATGTCTAATGGTCCACCTAATAGGGAATTTCAGTTCCACAGGCCTTTCTGGTGCTATAATATGAAATGCAGCTTTGACCTCTGGAGGGAGGACTTAAATCCTACAGCCTGCTGTGGTACTTCTCAAGAACAACACAATACACATGAAGATTTTTAATTGTGTGTGAATTTACTGTTGCACTGACAGTTTTGAAGGCCGTTATCCTCTCTGTTTAGCTCAGGAGCAACATGCTTACAGGAGTTAGAAAGAGCACAAGCTTTCATCATGCTCTCCTGCATTACACTTGCTTTGGGTGTATTGTGTTGTCATATTCTCTGCAGGAGAGAAAACAGTTTCATCTCTACTTGCAATTTTCTTTCTCTTCTATGCCTACTCCTGCTCCTGTATCCTGCACTCCCTTGAGTCAGGGAGCCCACAGCAGACTACACCTACCAAGAGACAGAAGTCACCAGTTCATTTTACCTGGGCTAAGCAGCAAAAGACATCCAGCAATGTGCAAAGGCGATATCTCTTATCAAATGAGGTCACCAAACATTACAATTAGAGGTCAGTATCATCCACTCCGAAATGACCCTGAGTAATTTTCCCTAAGAACCATCCTTTTCACAAGGCACCTGAGAAGTCAGATATCAAGTAGCCTGACAGGTATAATTTTCCTTACTGTAGGAATTATCTCATCCCAAGTCCTTTGTGATGATACTTATGACAAGGCCTTCTTTTTTTAATTTGTTTTTTTTTTTAAAGAGGTATATGCTCTAGATCAGACACCCGAAGAAGTCAGGAATTAGTTCAGCCACATCCTGAAGTCAATGTGTATGGAGGAGTCTAAGCTTGAGAAATGCCAGAGTTCCTTCCACAAAAATCTGAGTGTGGATGCAGTTCACTGACACCATCCTGAATCTGACAAGACATGCTTCCAGTCACTGCTGGAAGACAAGTCTGGAAGAACAAAGAGATCTGTGCTGTGAATTCCCCATTACAGCAATAACTGCCCTGTCCCATATTAAATGGGTAAATGCTCCAGATTAAACCAAAGCCTCTGGGCAGAGAGAGCCATTGTTTGCCTAATTCATCCACGCTCACTAAACAGTGCAGCTACATCGTGTACTCAGGTACTACAGGGAGTTGGAAATCACTGGTGATTCAATTAGATGTGCACTTGATATTTTTATTTATATTGCCTGCCAAAACTAAAAATTAATGAAGCATGTAGGAAAACAACTACTCTTTCTCTTCCAGCTTATTTTATGGTGCAAATCATTCAGGAGTGGAGGGAATACATGCCACACTTTATTCATAAAGGACGATGGATCCTGAAAAGGGTGCTCTGTTATTGTCAGGTCAATTTTTTTCCCTTCCTTAGAGCAATTCTGGCTTGCCACATACAGACTGCATAAGGCCCTTGTATTCTAGTCCAGGTCAAGGCATGGCTACAGAGGAGAAGGAAAAGTAGACCAAATAACTTGGAGCTGGCTGCTGACAATTTCTGTGGGCTCCTTGGTGAGGGCTTAAGGCAGCGAGATGTTATCTCCCTTGGCTTTGCTGAACTTCCTACAAAAAATGCACCTTCACAGACACAGCTGAGAGCCTTCCCTATGTGTGGTGCAAAGCTCTCCACATGCCACAGGTGAGACACTTGGGGCTCAGGTCAGTGTGCAAATGGGCACTACAAAGCTGTAAGAAGGGACTGTGGTAACTCAGCAGGTGATCCCTTCTCCTAGGGGTGTGCAATGAGCCTGAATTGCACCCCGTTGTTGGAAGCACCACTTGAAGAAAAGTTAGGAGACATGTCCCAGAGCACTTCCATGAGTTAGCAACATCATGACATTCTTAAAAGATTCTTAAGTTCTGCTGAAATTCAGAATTACTCTCGTGTCTCTGAATTACCCCATAGATGGTTTTGAGCCCCTTGTTTAGTACCAGCTTTCATATCCCACTCAGTTTATCTGCAATCTTTTCAGCAATGTCTGTGTTTTACCTCAGCAGCTGCAGAGATACACAGAGATTCGGAGGAGTGGTTATTGTAGACAATGATGTTGTTCTGTTTACTCAATTAATTCTAACTTTTTAAAGGCACTCACTTTTCTGAGCACACAACTGCATTAACACTAATTATAATGGAACCAAGGCATCCAGGAGAACCAACTTGTCTTCCCAGGTGTTTTGTTGCAGCCTAGGGGCACAAATCTCCTGAAGCCAACTGACTGTAGTATTTGAAATATGTCAGTTGCAACTGGGAATCAGGCAATTCCAGGAGCTATTCCTCCAAAACAAAGCAGCAGATTTGCATGCTCATTCATCTCTGTGGAGACAGGGTCTGAATTAGCTCAGATTTGCATTAGACCTATATATATGTGCTCTTTGTGTAGGTTAGAGAACACAAATAGCAAAGCTGCAGCCAGGGGAATGCCTGTGCTCTATTAACAGTACATGATTTATTCCCATCTTGTTTGCTTGCTTACTGTGAGCACAAAGGCAAAATGAATTGGAGAAAGGAGATGATTAACAAGTAAAACAAATAGATAACCAAAAAAAGCCCAAATACAAATAATCCTTTTAATGGGCCACTTAATGCAGGTATTTGCATCCAAGCTCAAGGAAACTCTAATTTTAATTAAAATACTTTGCAAGAAAAACAGACATTTGATCTTTTCAGTTTCCAGACCCAATTACCCCTGGCAAAGTGAACCAGAATGACCTGGATCACTGAGTGAAGTGGCCTCAAGTCACACACAGAAGATGTGTTAGGAAAGGAAAATGAATGGTATCAAATAAGTATCAGAGTAAAATTTGTGGGAGACATCCTTTATATTTACAGCAGTGTTTATGTAGCCAGTGGCATCCATAAATTACAGTAGTAATTAAGCTGTACCATGGCTGGCTTGGAGGCTTATAAATCATTATTTAAACAGCAGCATTAAATAAATGGCATTTCAGGCTCAAATTGAAAGCAGAAACAACTCCTTGGAGAACAAGTGCTTACTTTGTACCTCACAGGTCCTGCTTCTCAACACAGGCCAGCCCTGGCAGTGTTCAAATCCAGTACCAGACCCAGGACACAAATGCCTGGGATCTTTACTGCCCATGCTTTTGGACTTGGTTTCCATATATCAGGATGGAAAGTGGAAAATCACGTGGCTTAGCTTAAGCAGGATCAGCAACTTACTACTTGCACTGTGGGACCCAAGAGGATGTATTTCAAGTCTCAACAGATTTTCTCTGACTTGGTTTTCCTGTTCTCTCTTTCCCTGTTCCTTGACCAGCAGAGAAATCACAGTGTGCTGGCAAAATCTGGTGAGTCTGTCTCTGGTGAAGATCACTGCAAAATGGGAAACTTTGCCTTCCTGCCACCACACTTGGCCAGGTGGGATGGAAGAAATTCTTACAGGCATCCACAAAAATATCTCTTATCTGCCAAACTGGCTATGCTGCTAATTATCAGGCAGGGTTTAATGAAACCAAACATAATTATACCTTCACATACTACATTCAACTTCTTAGACCATGATTTTTAATTCTACCAAAAGCTTTCGGGACAAACACAGTTGGGTGAAGCACTCCTGCTGAGCACACATTAAAACACAAGAGCCTAATAGCACAGTATTTTGCTGCTGTTTAAAAATTGTCTCATTTGTACTCTGTAAAAATTCCAAAGACCTGGGATAAATGTACAGCCTTGTCACATTTTATCAGCAAGCAGCTTCTCTCTGGGCTATCCTTGACGAGCCCCATTGTACAGAGTTGAGTTTATTGCAGTGGTTCTCAAGGCAAGACCCTATATGCCCACAATGTGAAAATTTTCCATTTTTAATTGCATATATGTAGCAAAAATACCTACCCATGGAAGTCCATTGTGTTTATCTAACCATATGCATTACCTCTCAAAACAGAGAAAGCTTCCTACTATCTGATTGCATCTCTTAAAAAATGTTTTCCAATGGGCTAGCACTGCAGCTTAATATGCCTCCACTAAATGTCACTAAAAACCTGGGACTGTACAACCTTGTTGATGATGTGTGTCCATCACAAGTATTTGTCATTAACTTCTCAATTACACCTGCCCCTCCTTGCCTTGAGTTGAAAGCTTTGACTCAGATATTTACAAAAATATTACTTGGGGGATTGAAAGGTTGTGTGAAAACATAGAAGCTGCTGTCTAGCTATAAAAGGATAGTGAGAATTTGGGGGAGTTTCTGATTATTGATTTTTCCAATGACTTGCCATTTCTGATGGTTACATATTTCCTCACTCTTTATCTTCTGTCCTCCAGCAGCACAGGCATTCAAAGGCTGCTGGTTCACTTTGTGCTGAGGATAGCCATATTCCAGGACAAACTAAATCTGCTATTGATACAAGTCACTAATACCCATGCTTTCACCATTAGAGAAGTCAGAAGGTACGAAATAAAGGAGGAGAGAAAGTGAGAGAAGTGAAAGGTAAGTTCATGTTTGAGGAGAGCGAAGCCATCCTTGGCAAATGGCCACTGAACTCCACATGATACGGGGCAGATCACATAAATCAGAACGTTCACAGCAAGCTACACTGCTCTCATTTTCCAGCCACCCACCCCAGGACATCTGCAAGGAACCCGAGTAGTTGCAGCTGCAAATGAGACCAGTGAGAGAAATACTTAGAAAACACATTGTCCTCAAAAAATGCTTTGCAAACAAACAAACAAACAAACAAAAGACTGGGTGCCATGTTTCTCACACCAGGCAGTCAAAATTGGTCAACACTTCATAATTTCTGACTTTAATATTTGTAACAGCATTGTTACTATTACTGTCATTGCCTAAGGATTCATTTGTAGGAAGAAGTGTTCTGCCTGCCACAG